TGCCGTGTTTGCCTCTGCACAACAAAATTTTGCGGTCTAATCCGCGCGCGCGCGCGTATGTGGGTATACAAATAAAATCGCCGAATTTCGGAATATGTTTTTTTTTTGTGTTTTTCCGTTTTGTTGTTTCTTTTTCATTTTCGTGCAATATATATATATCGCGCGGTACATACGCGTACGTCAGCGTACGGTGAAAGAATCACGGAGTATTTGCGCACTCGCGGCGGTGGTTTTTCGCGAAGCAGCGGCGATTATCGCGTGCGGCTTTTCGGCTTGATGAAAATTGAGAGAGAGAGAAAACGCGCGGGAATGAAAAAAATATTGATAGAGATTAATACCCCGCGCGTATACCGCAAAACGCGTAGTATACGCGAGCGACGATATATAATTGAAAAAAATAGTGGAGAGCTAGAATCGAATCAACGACCCGAATGGGCTGTACACACACACACACACACACACACACACACACACACACACACACACACACACACACACACACACACACACACACACACACACACACACACACACACACACACACACACACACACACACACACACACACACACACACACACACACACACACACACACACACACACACACACACACACACACACACACACACACACACACACACACACACACACACACACACACACACACACACACACACACACACACACACACACACACACACACACACACACACACACACACACACACACACACACACACACACACACACACACACACACACACACACACACACACACACACACACACACACACACACACACACACACACACACACACACACACACACACACACACACACACACACACACACACACACACACACACACACACACACACACACACACACACACACACACACACACACACACACACACACACACACACACACACACACACACACACACACACACACACACACACACACACACACACACACACACACACACACACACACACACACACACACACACACACACACACACACACACACACACACACACACACACACACACACACACACACACACACACACACACACACACACACACACACACACACACACACACACACACACACACACACACACACACACACACACACACACACACACACACACACACACACACACACACACACACACACACACACACACACACACACACACACACACACACACACACACACACACACACACACACACACACACACACACACACACACACACACACACACACACACACNAAAAAAAAAAAAAAAAAAAAAAAAAAAAAAAAAACACACACACACACACACACACACACACACACACACACATAACCACGCGGCGTCGGAGTACTAATTAATTTGTAGCTTATGCTAAACATTCGCACTCGCTCGCACACGTGTAGCAGCAGCGGCGCTCGTTAGTCAACGATTAATCAATTACCCGACCGCTGCCTGCTAAGCTGCAACTACAGCCGTACAAATCTGATATATACGTACATGTATATAACGGGAGTTGTATATATGGTACTAATTGACTTCGAGTCGGAAGTTTTATGAAAAAGTTTGCGCACCACCACCGCGGCCGACATACGCGCGGCTGCTAAAAGGGTCTCTCTCTCTCTCTCGTCGGGGGCATTTATATATATACACAGTGTGTATAATGCTATTACACCTCTTACGCGCGGGAGCATTGTATTAAACCCATAAATGCTCTTTGTGGCCTATTTCGGTGCAGCTTTTATTATTATACGTACACACACACGATCGTAGACTCGGCTCGATCGATCGATCGACGAAAAAAAATAACATAAAAAACAACAACGACAACAAGTTTGTCGGTATTTTTTTTCCTACTATACTTTACTTTATTTTCATTCGATGCCGATGCAGAGAGCCTCGTCTCTCGTTGAATGATAAATTAAAAAAAAATGTCATTGACTGCGAAAATAAAAAAACGGGAGAAGAAAAAAGAAGTCGCTTTGTTGTTCGATACACAATGGACTATATGCGAAATTCATCGCGAGTTTTTTAAATTTTTTCTTTTTTTTTTTTTTTTTTTTTTTTTTTTGAAAATTTCAAACTTCCGCGCTGTGCAGCTATGTACGAGAGCGTGCTCATTTTCATTATTACGCGCGTGCCGCTGCCGCTGCTCGAGGGTCGACGCGAGGAATCCGTGGAAAAAAAATTTATATTTTTATTTCAAAATTTTGGTCACGTTTTAATGCACGAATTAAAATCGAATATAATATCCGCGGCCAGCGGAATTCATACGTAAAGAGGAGAAAAAGAAGCGAGTAATGCGGGAATATTAGATTTTTTTTTGTGAATGATGAGCGATATCGCGTTCGCTCTCGATTTTCAAGAGTATTGAAAAATTCACGTATATATGTACAAGTGCGTTTATGGAATACACACAGAGTGTACGTGTACACGCGTATGTCGTATTAAAAATGACGAAAAAAAAATATATTCGCGTGTACACTTTTTCAAGTACGTAAATATCAAATACGTATACTCGATTCTAGAGAGAGAGAGAGGCCGAAAGAGAAAAATTACTCGCAGCAAAATTTTGTAGTAAATAAAAAAAAAATTTAATAGGAACTGTTTGTCGATTGCCGCGCGCGCGGTGCAGTCGGTAGTAGTAGTAGCAGCAGGAGTAATTGAAAGCTTGCGCGCCTTCGTATATGTACGAGCTATATAGCATTTTTTCCTCTCTCTCTCTCTCTCTCTCTCTCAATCGAATTGATTCGACATACTGCAAGGCATTAGATTCACTGTCGGTAGATAGATACACACACACATACACGCACACACGTGTATATAATAAATTTCCGGGCGGGTTTCGCGCTGCAGCTCTCGGCGAATCAGGTATATATTATTATATAAAACATCGCGCGCAGGTTTATAAGTCACGAGTGAAAAGAGTCTCTCTCGTCGCTCGTTATAGATTTTTCACGGTGAGAGAGACAGAGAGAGAGGAACAATCGTCGCGTATAAACTATTTTCTTTTTTTTCTTTGTTTAATACGAGCGACAAATTTTGCCTCGCACATTCTCTAATAATAATATTGCCACATAGCGAATCGGAACAGGAAATCCTCGACGCGGTGCGGCAAAATTGAATTTCTCGTGCCTGCGCTCGAGATCTATACGCGATCAATTATTCGGAGTTATATAAATTTTTCTTTTCTCGTACCTTTATCATGATTCTCGACGTGCGCGCGGTGACAGCTATATATATAAATATAAAATAAGTTCCGAACAAAAGTTTGCCAGCGGAATGCGGGTGTCAAATTCAGAAGCGTATCGGAACAAGTATCCGACGACGGGAACGCTTAACATTAACGCTGCATAATAGAAAGAAAAAGGAACGACGAGGCTTCCGTGCCATTTAATTAACGCGTGCTTTTATTCTTCCTTTTCTACGACAAAATTTTGCTCAAACTCTTCGGGTGTACAGGAGTTTCGATTTGACGCCCGCTGCTTATCGGATTTACACTAAGGCGCGATATCGAGCGTTTATAATCCGTGATGCATTTCCGAATGCGTTTATAAGCTCGATTCCGAAAGCGTCGAAACAAACACTTTGCGATAAAATATTTGTATTCTTATCTCTCTTGTCCTTATACCGTGCATACGTACACAAGCATAAAGCCTATTGTAACGCGCGAACCCACTTTTCTGCGTTAGCATATCTGCGACCATAAAAAAGTTGAGCCGCTCGAGGTTGCCAATCGATTGATTTGTTGCCTTTTTCCTTTTTTTTTTCTTCCTCTCTCTCTCCCTCTCTCCCTCTCGCTTTTCTATTATTTGTTTCTGTACTTCGCGCTGCGTTTACGTTCTCTTTTTTTTATTATTCTTTCAATCATCTGCCTGTGCGTGAATGACGTTGTTGTGCGGAGAGTAACGATCGATCCGTGCGCCGCGTATATAACCGCCGTCGCTGCGGCACGCAGGTTTTTAAAACGAATTAAAGCGTGTACACGACTCGGGATTACCTTCATATTTTTTATGTCAGCTCGGCGATCGTGTATATTACTATAAAGACGCCCGCTGCGCGCGATGTAATAATCGAACGTGTTTTGCTTCATGACCGCGCGATTCGTCGCGTGGGCGTATCTCCCAAATACGAATTTACGTTACTTTAAATACGTATTATATGTGCTTGCAAATTACGAAGGTGATTCAGTTGCAAAGTATAATTTATAACCGATTACACGGACGCACGGCGGTGGTGGCTTTTGCAGTAGAAACACAAGCGTATAAATACTGTCGTCATTTTGGAGAGAGATGATTGGGCTAGTTTTCTCGGTCAACCGCAGGCAATAAACTTGAAGGAAATGCGAGAGAGCATTTTCTGCATACTATATAAGGCATATTGCCAGAGAGAGAGAAGAAGAAATTTATTTCGAACGAACGTATAACGTACACCGTACACTACTGCACTACTACATGTCTATAAAACGATAACCTAATTATTCGACGAAACAAATGAAAATTTCGTTTCGCAAAGAGCCTCACTTTGCGCGGGGAGGAAGGAGATATGTATATTACGAACGTATGTATATATTTTGCCAAGGTGCCCCTGCTCGGAGAAGTAGTGTTTAAGTTTGATAACTTCGTTTGAACGTTACAGGATTTTGCCTAGAGAGAGAGAGAGAGAGAGAGAGAGAGAGAGAGAGAACGTTATATTACCGACGTAGCCAAGATTATATTCTCTCTCTATATATACGTTATACGCGTGTGTATATATTTTGCAGGTGCGGGATTTTCTTCCGCAAAAGTTTCGCCGCAAAATCAACTCTCGGTGATATCGTTATATGAGCTTTCGTATATGTAACACGTGTATATATTGGGGCTACAGCGTAATTCAAATGTTTGACGATAAAATCGAAATTGCTTTTTAATTTAAAAAGTCTTACAGTTACCAAAAATGCTTAATTGATACATCGTCTGTCTCCTTATTGCGATAAAAAGTCGACTCTGAACTTCTCGCGGTTGACGTAATTATCCATACGTCTGAGTTACGCGTCGCTGGGCTCTTTCGGAGCTGGCGAGCCAGTGGAATCGGGCTCGTCGTCTCATCTCGTAGTCGAAGACGTTGAGGCTGCTCCTTCGAGCTGACGTGCTGCACGACGTCCCGTCGGGGTCCACTGAAACGCGGGATGACGCGACGTCTCGAAGGCAGCCTCGAGGCTCTCTCGACCTCCTCCGCCTCTCGTCGTCGTTCGGACAAGTCGTGGTGACGTGCTGTTGAATTTTCCGCGGGAAGGGACGACGTCTCCAAGAGAACGTCGAGGCTTCTACGATGATCTGCGTCCTTTGATCATTGTTCCGCCGAGGCTCACTGGTACTCGGAGTGGTGGTCTCTTCCGTCTCCGTCCTTCGATCGTCATCGATAACTTTGCGCGTCGATCCGGAGACTCGGGCTTCTTCGGCCTTCATAAGTCGACGGCCCTCGGCGATGCTCCGCAGAACGTCCGCCGGGGCGTTGCGAATCTCGTGGTCCGAGTAGGCACGCACCATGTTGGCGTATTGTTGGGGACTAATGGTCGGATCGTGGTAACTGTTCACCATGTGCAACAGATAGGGGAGACCCTCGTCGAAACGTCTACCGCACGGGCAAGCGAAATTTTTGGGTTGGTCCCAGAAATCGGGATTCTCCCATTGCCTGCTCGAGTCTAATTTTCTATATAAGCGACCGTTGAAAGTTACCAAATAACAGATCGATTCTTTTAACGTATGTTTAATCAAGTATACTTACTATCCATCGATTAATCAATCAACTATTTTCTATACTCAAACAAACGCGTCTTCTTGAATAAAATTGGTTGCGATCGCGCGACAAGTCGGGCTCCGACTCGGCAAAACATCGAACGACGACACATCGTTTCTATCGCATGTGTGTACAAAATAATGTTTACATTTCGGTGATACACGGAATTCGTGTCAAAGCTGCCTGGTGATTTATCCGCGAAAGATCCGCGCCGAAAGGGCGACTGCATGCACCGTATATCGATCCTGTGGGCGCGCGCGGAAATTTCAATGCCGCCCTTACGTAAGACTATTTTTGCACGCGCGAGGCCCTCGAAGATTTTACGATATATTTGATCCTAGTGTGCCGAGATGTTTATCTCGACAAGGACGCGAAGAAAATTATCGTAACCTAAAGGAAAAAGAAGCAGGTGATTCGAGGGTCGATGAGAACAATTGAATCGAGATCGTTTTAGTTTTCAGTGTCCAATACATTTGGAAAAATGTATATTCAAGTCGAAAGTTTTACAATTTCTATACACGTAGCTGATACATCAGCTGGAAAATTATTTATAAATATGAGTCTCCTCGTACGATCGAATTTCAACGTGGGCATATCATCGCGGACGACACACCGCGCAACTTACGACTGTTTGGGCTTTTTCGGGCTGGGGTTGCCATTGGGATCGCGCTCCTCGTGCTCTCTTTTCAATAGCAACGTCGAGACATTCGTCTCTTCGATCTCCATCTCTTGAGCAGTCGCGGTGTTCTGGTTTAGGCGGTGCTGATGCGCCCACAATTTTTTCTTTACCATCTCAAGTTGGGCTGGATCTTCGTCCTTGTGCTCGTTCAGGACGTGTTGCATACAGTGTATAAATTGGGGGAAAATTTTTTGGCAAAATTCACAAGAGATAGGTTGTGTCTCGTCCATTGTATCGTATGATTCTGGATAGGCGAAGAAAGTTTCGATGCTGCTAAACATTTACGTGTTATTAGGTACAAGTTGAAATATTTAGGGATCGGTCGAGTTAACAATTAATCAATTTTCATACCTAGATAGACGTCTCCGTGAATACAATTTTTCACACTATTCTTGAATAAAATTAGTTGCGATCGCGCGAGAGGTCGGCCTCATACTTAACGACATCGGCAATTTTCGAAAACAATACGTGTTTGTGTTTATGTTTCGGCAATCGAAAATTGTGTCAATTTTCCAGAGTCAATCTCAATTAGAGTCACATTTAGAGCCACGATCTACGTTTGAGCTCGTAAATTTAACTCCGATCTCCTTACGAGTGATAATGAATGACGTGGACCAGACAAATATTAAATCCAGGGAAACTTTTATGGCAAAAGTTACAAAGGAAATGTTTTATGTTTCGACCGTTCATTGTCTTATCAAATTTTTGATATGTTGAGTGACATTTAAAGCTGCTGAATATTTACATTTAAATTTAGGGATCGATTGCGTAAACAATAGACTTCTCCTTGGATGAATTTTCTCGCGGCCTCTCACTCAACAACATCGTCGTGTTTATACGTTGTCATTCGAAATTCACGTCAGTTTTCAGCGAGAGAAAGACGACGAAGCCTCGCTCAGGACTATTTTTACAAAATTTTAGACTTGATCCCTGTGCCCCGCGTGACAAATGTCCGAACGTTTCTCCGCGTCCTTGCCGACGCGGAGAAAATTAGACGAATATATGCACAAAGAACGGCCCAAGTACGTGCTGTTTTTCGGGTGGCGAACGCGCAGGTTGCAGCATCGGGAGCACGAGCTGAGATCGTGCCAACGCAGAGCGAGAAATATAATGCAGCCACACGACGAGGAGGAGGAGGAGGAATGATGTATCGAGAGAGAAAGCTTAAGAGTGAATCTCGGCAGCGGTTCTCTTTCTCTTTCTCTTCGTTCGCGCAGAGAAGGCAAAGAGTATAGCCGCGAGGTACTGGCGAAAACCAGTTTCCTAACTGTATAATGTACGCACACAAACACCCTCCCTTTTTTTTCAAAGGATTCGATGCGTACGCGCAAACACACGCGTATACGCAGCACAATTGGAACCTATATGGTTGATTTTGAAAAAAATGCGATGCGTTATTGGCTTTTTGTTTATATAGAGTAGCATTAGAAAATTCTCCAAAGTATACGGTATACGAGCGCAGCCGAGTTGGAGTTTAAATTTATCTAAAATCGATCAAGAACGTGCGGCCTAGGTGCAGTAGTATGTATACACATTCAAAAAGTGCCACACAGCGATAAAAGTGAAATAATCGCGCGGGCCGTAAATACATTTGAATGGGGAAAAGTTTCGGTACTTTTCAATGGCGCGTAATCCCGCAGCGCGTGTTTGTGTGTGTGTAGTTTATTAGCGCGATAAATATCGAGGAAAAAGTCGCGTCAATAACGTCGAAATTGCGAGACATAATGAAATTTTTGCCAAAATCAAACGTAAACATGGAGTAAAAGGTTGAATATCCACGTGTAAAGAACCACGTATAATGTGTGTGTTCGCGAGAATTACCCATATACTTGTGTGTCGATACCGTTCGCCAAAACAACATACACCACACATTTATTACACGCACACATCCAGACTCGTGCTTGGCAAAAAAAAAAAAAAAAACACAGGACCCTTGACCTCCTTTCGCGCAGCTTTCTGCCTGCCCACGCGCTAGCCAAATAAAAAAAAAAAGGGCCAATACTCGAGAGCTCGCAGTTTTTGCACTTATTTATAAGCGTGTGCAGTAGCAGCAGTAGCAGCAGAAAAATAACAAGAGTTAATATCCATCGTGTCATCCGAAGCTCCTCCATATATCGCGTAATACTTATCGTACATTGTCGAACACACTTGTAAAAGATGCCTCTGCGAAACTATGTGTAACGCAAACGTGACACTTTTTAATAAACAGAGCGATAGTGTGCAAACGCCTCGAACGAGGCGCGATACACTTTAGTATCGAAAAATACATCGAACGCAATATTCGTTCAACACGCGGGTGTGCATACGCGGGATTAAATATCATCGTGGAAGCTCGCGTATACGCGCACAGCGGCGAAAATTCCAACATATTGTCGTTGTTTCGCTGCAATAAACATGAGCAATTCAGAAAAGGGAGGAGAGTTTTCCTACTCGACTTGTTCTCTCTCTCTAACACAGTATAGTGCCGCCTATCAAACAACAAAGTTCAATTAGCCGTCCTCTCTCTCTCTCCATGGACACATATAAACTTACATGCTGCTGCTGCTGCTGCTGCTGCTGCTGGCGCACAGCTCGCGTCGGTATTTCCGCACAATAGACATTCCGCGATGCGTATCCGTTTTTGCCGCTGCTGCTGCCCGGGCGTATATAATATAGAGAACGAGGAACCTACATACATACACATGTAATAGTTACGATAGGTGTATACATACGTTCGTAGGTGGCAAACGCGCGGCTTCAAAGTATAACATAATGTGTTTCCGGAATATCGAGTGAATTGTGTGTGTCCCCGCGCGAGAACGCGATAACGATTTTTTTTTCTCATTTTTATTTATTTTTTTTTCGCTGTTGTGGAGAGCGCGTATAGTTGCTGGGCTAAATGATAATAATAATAATAATAATGTGTGCGTAAGAGTGTGTCGCGCCGGGCGTGCATATATACCTGCCAATGCGCCGAGTCAGACCAGTGGGTGTACACACACACATACTCGCGCGCGTTTTATTACGTCCTCGAACGATCGTTCAGCCGACGACGACGAGGAGTCGTATACATATACACGATCGTGCAACGAATCGTGCATCACGAAATATCGTCGGGCAGCTTTCACTCACCGCCGCAGACTTTTGCGGCGTGCACGTGCACTTTGCCTTTTAAAATGTATTTATAAAAAATGAAGAAGAAGAAGAAGTAAGGGAATAGTATAATGCACAACGAGCATCGTGAGGCGCGCGCGCGCGCGCGAATATAATGTAACCATTATGAAACCGACGGGGCCCCATGCCATGATCTGCAGAAACAGCAGCGTAGCGTCGTTATTATTATTCGTCCTTTATGTTTCAGCAGAAGAAGATGTGTACTACGCTCGTGTTAAATATAATTGCGCGATTAATATTTGTGCACGTGTGTCGATGTCGAAGGATGTTGTTCAGAGAGCGAGAGAGAGAAAATATATTGTATTAGATCGGCGAATAATGTACATGCATCGCGTCGCGTATAGTCGACGTCCCACACTGGGATAATAATAATAATAATAACGACGAGGAGGATGGAAAAAAAGGAATAGTAGACCAGAACGGCTGGTCACGCAGTAGTTTTTAACTTGTACATAACAACACATATGCTCGGTGGTACTGTATATACAGAACACATGCACACACACACGTATGTTTATATGCCGCGCGAGAGCTGTCCAATGGTCGTCGACCTTATAGCAACGGAGGCAGTCGTTCACCTCCTTCTCTGGCGCAGGCACACATACGCGCACACAGGTACATATTATTGGATTGGTATATACCCCCAACGCACTGCACGCTATATCGGCTATACGTATACGCATAATTAGACGTTGTCGATACGTTGATTTTTTTTCTCCTCCTCCTCGGGGCAGAGAGAGAGAGAGAGAAAAAAAATAATCAGAACGAATATTTGAATATATATTTAGCAGTTATAGGTCGGGTGGATTTTTTTTTCTTCTCCAATTCGTTACGAAACCAGTCGCGGATTAATTGGTGCATGATAAGAGCCATTACGCATCTCTAAATGAAATCTCTCTCTCTGCGCGCTGTATAATAACGCACACGCGATGATGTCTATTATTATATTATAACCTACGCGATAGAAAAAGAAAGAAAGAAGAAGCGAGAAGAAAAAAAAGGAAGCTAAAAGAGGAGCAGGAGAGAGAAAAAAAAAATTGGCGCACGCCTCGCGCGGAGGATATTATAATTGCACCGGCTCGCGCGTGGTGTGCTACTTTTGCCCGCTCGCGTAAAAGGAGCAAAAAAAGCGCAGGAAAATGGCAATAATAATAAATCACGATTATTATTTAGTTTTGCGTATAAATAAATAATTTAATATGTGTATCTCGAACTGGACGTCTCGATAAATATACGCGTGTGTACGCGTTCGCGCTCGGAGAGAGCACTTGTGGCACACATTTAAATCTAGTTATGTAAATTATCCTGCTCAAAAAAAAATATCCTCTCTGTCTCTGTGTCTCTCTGGACACAAACGCACACAGCACTCGTCGCGCGGAAAGAAAAAGAGAGTCACTCTCGCGCGTATATTTATTATCCGCATTACGCGCGTTATCCTTCAAACTTTATATCGCGCATACATTAAAGCTTATCAGGGCCTCGCAGCCTGTGTATGTGTGTGTGCTTATTATATACACATTAAACATATACATGCCGGTGTGCGCGAGAGACTGAGAGAGAGAGGGAGAGAGAAAAAAAATTATTACGCGGAGAAATGTCAAGCTTATATGAGCACGCATATATAGGTACACTGGCAGCAGCAGAGGCGTATCACGGCACATCGGCGACGGCGGCGCGCACAGCTTTCGTAATCATCGCGTATACACACATACATATAATATGCGTACGTGACGAAAAGCGTATACACACGCGTACGCGACGTCTAATTCCTTTCACATTTCAAGGGTTTCCTCTCGACGCGAACGCGTCGATACATATTTATCTCTTATCTATACGGCATAATATATTTGTGTAACATTAAATATTTATTCTTCTATGGAAGCAACGAAGGAAAAGAGAGAGACAAAAAAAATCGAGCACGCGTAAGCGAAAGTAAAAGTGTGCTCATGCAGGTATATGTATATTATGCTCGTGCGCGCGAGCAACACGAAGGAAAGAAGATATACCGAGAGAGAGAGAGAGAGAGAGAGAGAGACAGGAGTTTAAAAAAATAACTGCTTATCCAGCGAAATTCGAAATTATTCCTTTTTGAGCAATGGTTCGTTTTTTTTGTTGCTGTTGCTGTTGTGCTTCTGTTACTCTTTCTCTCTGACTTTTTACAAACGAGACGCGCGTGCTTGAATTTCGGTGTCGGATTAAAAAATATTCGCACACACATACATACGGTATGCACGCAGACACTCACAAATAGAGCGTCGAGCTCGCGCTCGTTGGTTGTTATATTATAAATGCGCGAAATATCCCAATTATTCAACGCGCGTGAAAAAACGATCTATATGCTCGTACGATATATTCTACACGTACGTACACGTTTTATTTATTGGACGGCAATCGAAGAGATTTTTTATTTTATTTTTATTTTTTCCTTTTTTTGCATTCGCTTTCCCTCTCGAAAGCGCATACGGAGTGAAGGATTATATGCTTGCAGAGAAAAGAAGGAAAAGATGTAGCAGTATACCATACCGATTTCTAACCTATGGTCGCAGCTCGATCGGCTCAAGTGCCGCCGATGTCTCGTCGCTTCCGATGCACTGCTCACTCGCTATACCGATTCAATTGGTATCACACAGATTTTCGTAACAACACCGAGCTGCTCGTCGAGCGGTATGTATAGCACTGACACAGGGGGGGCCCTATTATCATATTATAGCACACACTGTATAATAACACATCTGTATGGACACAAAAGCTGCTGCTGCTGCAGAAGTAAAACTCACTGAGCAGTGCACTGGCCGCTGACAGGAGCACTGACACACGTTCATATAAAAATAATGATATATATTTTTTTTACACCCGTAATTTTGCGGCGCACATTTAGCACGGGTATACACACATGCGGACACACAGGTGACAAAGAGAGCCAGAGCAGCAACTCGCACGCGCTCGCACTCACCGGCGGTTTCTTTCTGTGTGTGTGCGACGACGACGACTGTGTAGTACACTGTCGTTCGTCCGGCTTGAAAAAGATCGCGAAACGTACTGACACGTTACGAGAATTGGCCTTTTGCGCCAACTAGCTCGCATTTATGAAAATGTGTGCGGTTACCACACATGCACATGGATATACCACATATGCACACGTTGTGCCCGCGCGCGCGCTCGCTCGCTCGCGAGTAAGTGTATAAGCGCCCGTAGTGCAAAATGTATATTCAACGCAACATGCATGTGTGTGTGTGTATGCCTTCTGCGAGCAGTACTACTGCCGGTTTTTCTCTCTCTCTCCTGTATACCACCAATTCACTTTGGAGCAGCAGCAGCAGTAGTAGAGGTCCTGTGCACGAGTATGCGTGCACTAACTATATACGATATTGTGTATACTCCTCCTTTTTCGCAGACGCGTTGCACTATACACCAGCAGCGGCGCGCACGTATTTACCTGTGTGTGCGTGTGTGTGCATCGGCAGCAGAATATACCTCCACTCTTTTTCTCGCTCGGCAACCTCACTACTACTACTACTACTACTCTCGGACACTTTGGCGAGGTTCTCTCTCTCTCTCTACTCGCTGTATATATACTACCTGTGCACATTCCACCTCTCCGCTCCGATTTTGTTGATGCTGCTGCTGCTGCTGCTGTTGGAGTGGTGCATCGAATATATATATATAATACGGTTTTTAAGCGCGGGGCCTCGTGACTGCACTCATCGTATACATAATCGCAAGCAGAGGCGGCACGAGGCTCTTTCGCATCGACGCGCTAACGTCTGCTAATTTTTCCTCCGTGTACCGCACGTATTATATATATTATATGAAAATTGCAGAATTGAGCGGGCTTTACCGACCGAGTTCTCATGCAGTCCGTATGTATGCTTCGCGTTGAATCCGCAAAACTCGTGATCGTTAACGCCGCGTGTAAAAAAAAAGAAAAAACTGTGTCTTACGAACTACCGAAAATTGAAATCCTCTTCTCTCTCTCTCTCTGCCGCCGTCGCGCCCGGCCTCGTATACCTAAGAGTCTGTCTATATCTCGCGCTTATGTATGTATGTATGTATAATATATTCTCAAAAGCGAAAGAGAGCGAGTGAGAGAGAGAGAGAACCCAAAGAGTTCTTCAAAGGAAGTCGCCGGTATACGTATATACGAGGCCGAACTGCCGTTTGTAACCCAGCAGCTAACTCAAAGCTCTCTTTTGCTCACGCTAAATATACGTATATGTATATGTGTGTTCTCTATCTCGTCTTTTTTTGGGTGAAAATGTGTGAGAGGTGGAATATCCCCCCCCCCTTCCCCCATCCACTCGCCGATTCGGCAAACTTCTTCAAAAAGACCTCAAGAAAACGTCAAAGGAGTAAAAAAGATTTTTTAAAGAAATTCCTTCTAGCGCCGCAGCCCCGCAACGCTGCGTATGCTCCACTTGTTGTTGCCGACGACGACGACTCGAAGTAGCGGTGGCTTTTGGGGCTTTAATTAATCCAAATTTACATCAACGGCTATTGTACGTAGGTTCGAGTGTACTCTCGCGTTCAACACGAAAAGGCTTTTTCGCTTCGCCTATATATATAAGTAAGATACGATGGTATGTGTGTCTATACGTAATAGCGCGAGATCGTGAAACTTTATCGCGTTCAGACACCACATCTAGAAATATTTACGTTCGATACGTCGTAAACAAAAATTAATTTTCTCGCCTACAGAGCTCGTTTCTCACTCTCTCGTATCGCCATTCGTTGCGTGGATCAACCGTAATTATAATACAGAAGGAGGCGGGGCGATATTTTCATTAAAGCAAAGCAAAGCAAAAAAAAAGAGAGAAGGAAAAAGAAAACGTTTTCGTAATTATACACCTGTATACTCGAACGGGGGGCGCGAGAAGAAGTGACAAATCTCCCGCGACGCCCGCGCGCATACTGAATTAATGGAAAATGAAGAAAAATCGCTCGGTCACGAGACAGAGCGCGCGCGCGGCAGGAAATTCATTTCATTCGGCGCTTTAAATTGTTTTTTTTTTTTTTCGTTGATTTTATACTCTCATTCTGACGCCTCGCGCGGATTTGCATAATGTACCTCTACCTATATATAACGCGAGCTCGTCCATTGAAAAGTTTCTTAAAAAGGAGTGGCGCTACGACGAGAGACTTGAAAAAGAAGCGTTTGTAAAATCATAATAAATTAATATCCCATACAAACGTTCGCGCGAACTCGATAACGCGTTGGGGGAATGGGGGGGGGGCAATTGTTTTGCTCGCTTCGCGCGCGTGAATGAAACAAAAAAATAACACGGGTCTGCAAAGAATCAGAGTAACAAAGTTACCAACTTGTTAAGAACTAATAATCTTTCCATAACTTGGTTTTGCTCTCTATATACATACATAACAACGATTTTCAACGAGCAGAAAAGTATATTCTATACACATAAACAAGAAGTGCGCGCGGAAGAATGCGAGATATATCAAAAAACTTACTCATTTTGTTTCCGCTCCTCCGACGCACCCGCAGGCAGATGGTTCTGGATTTGATGCACTGCAACGATAATACGAAAACGGTGAACTATGCGTTATACATATACAGGCGTTACATTGCACACGCCATATTGTTGCAATAAATTACATTGTGCCGCCGCCGAGAATGCGTGGCGTATTACATACGCGTTATAATGTAATATACATCACGCGCTTCGGATACGTTGAAGAGAGAATTACAGGCATTAAAGGCGTCTAATAATGGGCGATACGTTAGCCGAGCTCGCGTGTACATAGCAGCATAGCGGCGGCATATGCAAAATAATATATATCCATGTAATATGCGCGCAACACATGTATGCGTAGATATGTATGTGTGTGTGTGTGTGTGTGTGTGTGTGACGTCGCTGCTGCCACCGACGACGACGAGAGCTTGGACATCTTCCAGAGCTTGTCTATATTATTATACGGCTCTTTTCTACATATACATGTATACAAGCGCGCGNGATTTGTATAATTTTTTTTTTTTGCTGTGCCTGCCGCTGCACTGCTTTTCAATCGGAGTTTGAAGATTTTTGTCGCGGCGCTGTTGGATTATTCATCCAGCGGCGTCTGGACGCGTGCCAGACTAAAACGAGCCAGACACAGACGGAGAAGATAGGTCGCGCTCGTCTCTTTTGTCGCGAATCGTTTACGACGATTAACCGATAACCGACCTCGCGGTGTAACGTATAAATATATATACTTCATACATCTTGAGCGATGCGACAACTAAACTATTTTTTTTTTTTTTTTTTCCAAAACGCTTTGCCCTTTTTCCGCATTGTAATTTCCTCTCTTTTTGTTGTTGTTGTTTTATGGACATAATTACCTCGTGTATGTGTCCGAGTATCTCCGAGTGCGACGCGTTCTCGAGGGTGCGTCCGTTGACCTCGAGAATCTCGTCGCCGATCTCCAGATTTTCCGCGCTGTCCGCTGGCGACCCTGCGAAATAATAACAAGCACAATATTACACACGAGATTAATCAGTTAATTAAAATACTTGACACGCGCTGTGCTGCGCGCACGGGGGTGGGTGGGTGGGTGGCGGGTATAGAGAAGGGAGGGAGGGTCTCCGGTTTAAAATTACATTTAATTTTAACTCTTTTAATGGATCAAAGTTTCTTAATTAAAAAAAATATATATACGTATATAATCGGCCACGTACACACAAAAACCTGCAGTGTCAAAGTGAAAACTTATTATTTTACGTGAAATTAATCAACTCTATATATGTATAGGCTCGCCCGATTCGTCGCACACAAATGCGCGCGCGCGCGTGTAACGAAGAGCGAGATTCTTAATTAATCGAATTCGCGTCGTACAGAATGGAATTCTCGATGTGTTTTGGGTTCTGACTTTGATGCCGTACTGTGCATTCTCGAATAATGCCAAGAATCGCGAATGTGTACACAGCGCAACACCCACACACAGACAGACACGAGTCAGAGGAGCTTGCGAGTTGCTAGAGGACGAGTCTGCAGCAGTGCGCCAAGCAAAAAATACGCCCGCGTGTATATACACACACGACAATAGGCGACAAGAAAAATAAAGGCTTGGAGAGAAGTCGAAGTAAAAGGGAGACAAAAAAAAAAGTACCGCAGTACTACTGGCAAACTAGCTTTCCGCAGCAGCAGCAGCAGCGTGTATACACAGCTATAGCTCCCAGAATTTTCTTCCTCGTTTTCGCGCGCGCGACGATAAAATTTTACCCATCCTCCGCCTCGCTCCACCCCGAGCAGAGCGAGCTCAAAATTCTTCGAGAGCGCCTCCTTCTCTTCTCCAGGGCACATTTTGCGTGCGGCATATTTGTCGCGCGAAAGAGAGAGAGATAAAAGGAGCAGTCTAAGAGCTAAAAGATAAGATTGCGTGTTTTTTGATCCTTCCTTCTTCGAGAGACGAGGAAAAGTTGAGCTCTCGCGGCCATCGAAAATCGACTACGTATTTTCTCGCGATCGAGAGAGAGAGAGAGTCGAACAATAAGTTTATTAAACATTCCTCGTTTGAAATCAAGTCGAAGGGAAATAATCCTATCCCACTTATTGAATTTTATTAAAAACTTATGGCGCGCATAATTGCTTAATACCTTCTTTCTTCTTCTACTCGTCTCTCCGAGAAAAATTGTTTTTTCATCGTGCTACTACACGGGGGGGACGCTCTTTTTCATATACTCTCATCCCTCTTATTTGTCCAACGAAACGTTGTTTAAACTCTCTCGTTCCGAGCGAGTGGCGCTCATTGTGATTTATTCGAAACTTTCGGCGCGCGAGCAGCATTGCCACTCGTCGGATGGACACCGCAATATTCGTGAAGCAAAAGCAGCAGCAGCAGCAGCAGCATCCGCGCGATATATTCATTCAAAGAATAAAGTTTCTTTCCGAAACGAAATTTATTTCAGTTTTTCTCGAATTACAAGGGGCAGAAAAAAGTAAGTTGTAATTTTCAGCACTTCGAATGGGCGAGTAGGGAGGTAGGGAGGGAGAGAAGAAAGTTTTGCAAAACTTTTTATCGGGGATGCGCTTCATCAAAGATCGAAGTCGAATATTGCAATTGTTTGCAGTTTTTAGCGCGCGCGCGTATCGAACAAAAAGATCGAAGCGATTTGTTCGCGGTGTATACCCCCCAATTATTGCTTCGCAGCCCATTTTGACTATTCGAAATTCAAAGCGAAAGAAGAGAAAAATGAGAAAATGAAACGCGCAACGAGTAAACTCTTTGATCGATTATTATTTTTACCGAAGAGGAAAAAAACCATCCGCATGCTCCTTGATCTCTCTCGATCTGCGTCTCCCTCGCGTTAACGTACTTAACTAACGACATCTCTTCTCCGGGCTAAGTAATTTAGAAAAGCCGTCGCGCGTCGTTAAAATTTTCCCAAGCCGTTTTTATCAACGCGTGTGCGCGTTTATAGCGGAGCACCTTTTCCGAACGAACCTGCTGCAGGCAGCGGCGCATCTTCGATCATTGTTGTTCGATGCGCAGACGTGTCACTCTCGCATCGCGTGTATACGTCGTTTCTATTCATACGTAAACATGAGGGCTCCGGCTTAATCCAACGATTAAAAAAAAAACAAGAAAAAGAGGAAGAAAGAGAAGAAACGACTAGAGAGACAGAGAGACGAGTTTCTGTGTGCCCCGCGCTGCACTGCACGAGCGAGCGAGAGAGAGAAGCGACGGCGTAACGTCGAGATCTAGATTTGCTATGCGGCGCTCGTGCAACGACTCCGCGAGGGGGTAGTAGAAAGACTTTCTGTCCTCTCGCTCTCTTTCTCTCGCACCTCGCATCTCCGGCATTTTCCGAGGCATTCTTTCCTCTATTCCGAGGCATTCAGCGGAAAAGAAGAGAGAAAGAGAGAAAGGAGGGCAAGCTTTGCAAAAAAAAAAAAAGGTATTCTTCTCTCGCTCTTTCGATAGTTACAGGCATACGTGTGCATATATATGAAAGGCCGAGAGACAGGCGGAGAAGGAAGAGTCAACCTTTTGCCATTTAGTTTTAATATCGAGCGATAAACTGCACCGCTGCTTTTTTGTTTAATTGCTTTCCGCGCGGACCAGTATACGGCGTACATGGTTCTGTGTGCGATTGGGAGAACTTTCCCCCCCCCCCCCCTNTTCCCCCCCCCCCCCTCTCTCTCTCTCCCTTGACCCAACGTTACGTGCAACTTTGTTCGGCTTTCGACGCGCGTTTCCGAAGCTCGAATCGATCGGAAACACAAAGTTTTGGACTTTATTGGGGGGAAATTATCAAAAGCCTTTGAGGATATTATTTTTTTTTTTTCAAGTAAACCGAAACTTTTTCAAGCGCCGTCTGTATTGAAACACGAGTCTATGACAGATTGCCTGCTTTCAGTTTTTTAAATTGCGCGCGGGACTATATAATAGGGATCGGCGATACTGCTCGATACTCGAAAATGTATTCGATATTTTTTTTTAAGAATAGATCATAATCTACTCGATACTATTTAGTACTCGATTACTGCCGAATCGATACTTTTCTAACGAAGTATCGAGTACTTGACATCACGGCACGCCTATACAGACACTGCTGTTTGTTTACTGTTTTTGTATAGTTGACCAGAGTTTGTACATACTGTGTATAGTTGCGAATTATATTTGAAAATCAAGTAGGTATCTGAGCTGCTATAGACTCGGCTCGTTGTTAGCTCGTGGCTATTATTGTCCGATTTTCTTAGATTTTCATTATACAGTATATAAGGCCCGAAGTGCATTTGCGCGAGCATCCATAGTTTTTACTTTCTAAAAGATGCATACCGAATCCAGACACACGGTCGATTAGTCTGTATAACCTTGTGACGTCGTAGTCTCTTTTCTCCGCCTGTTTCATCTTGATCACGTCTTCGGGCCTCGGTATCATAATCAAAATTTATCATAAAAATGAACTCGATAGAAATATTAAAATTAGTGTCCGAAGTAAAAGATTGTGTGGCGAACGAAATAAAAGAGAACCTCAGTCAATGTGAAATCCACGATTTATTCCGAATATCAATAAAAAAGAAGCACTCGAATGCGGTGATATTTCTACACGAGATCTTAGATCTCAGAGTGCACGAGATACGTTGACGAGGAAAGCAAAACCATCTAGGACTTCTTACTAAAGAACTCCGAGGAAAATCACCGCGACGAGCAGGGCTACACGTACTTGCACGGAGCCTGCTTAGCTACAACAACGAGATGAGCGACGAGAGAAGACCGGTCGACGCGATCGTGGATGCGCTCGTTGCCGCTGGAGCGAATCTCGAGACGCGAGATCGTGGCGGCTCGACCTCTCTGGAACGGGCGGTGACGCTCCTGGACTCGGAGCTGCGGCCAAGTCGCTTTTGGAACACGGCGCGAGTCTGGACGGTTTGAACGAGAAATTGTCGTTGGGTGTGGATGATTATACGCCGGCCGAGTTGAGAAATTATCCCATCGTTTTGCACGTCGTCGAGATGATAGGGTTATTGGTCTCCAAGGGATTGATGCTGAATTTCTGCACTCGATTCAGGATTCTGAGTTTTTGGACGAAGGTGCGAAGATACGATATCGATTGTTCGAGCGAAAACGAAGATATTTACGAAAAATGTAACAACAGTGAGTTTTTCAATTTTACAAGTGTAATAATTGTAATTTACTGGATATTAATTTAATTTTTTTTTTCAATTAAAACATTCGTACCTCAGAGTACTTGTGGCATTTATTTTCAAATGAGTCTCAGATTCCAAACGTTTAACATAAACGAAAAATTCGAAAATGCCAAAATCCTTAAATAAGCTTACATGAAGTTTTAGATGTCATCGACAGTCAACAAATACAACAAGCATTCATAAAAAATGATAATATTATAATAAAAAAATTTTTTACGCAAAAATAAAAAATTTCAAATTTCAACCTATTTTTTTTTTCAATTTATTCCACTTTTTCGAGTATATTACGAATATTCATTCGTAATTAGACTTTTGGTGGAAAAAAAAATGACAATAACATTCCTTGAGAATTCTCGCGACTTAATGTACCTTACCAAGTCCGGCCACTTCGTCAACACTTACATTTGTTCTAACACCATTGAGTGAAAAATTCATAACTCTCGAGTTGAGACTCGGAATCGAATCGGGGTAGGATTTTCTTTTTTTTCTTGTTTGAAAGAACCTCCGTATGAATTTTCAGACCGCGGACTTGAAAATTAAAAATCTGACGGCCTAATAAAGATTAACAGATCGATGCGCGTCGTCGAAATTACCGTTTCTGAAACAACGCTGAGTGAAATATTCATAACTCTCGAGTTGACAGTCGGAATTGAATCGGGGTAGGATTTTCTTTTTTTTCTTGTTTGAAAGAACCTCTGTATGAATTTTCAGACCGCGGTCTTGAAAATTAAAAATCTGACGGCGTAATGAAGTTTGGCAGATCGAAGCGCGTCGTCGAAATTACATTTTCTCAAACACCGCTGAGTGAAAAATTCATAACTCTCGCGTTGACACTCGGAATCGAATCGGGGTAAAATTTTCTCTTTTTTCTTGTTGAGAAGAAACTCTGTATGAATTTTCAGACCGTGGACTTGAAAATTAAAAATCTGACGGCCTAATAAAGATTGACAGATCGATGCGCGTCGTCGATATTAAATTTTCTTAAACATCGCTGAGCGAAAAATTCATAACTCTCGAGTTGACACTCGGAATCGAATCGGGGTAGAATTTCCTTTCTCTTTTTGGTTGAAAGAACCTCTGTATAAATTTTCAGACCGCGGACTTGAAAATTAAAAATCTGACGACCTAATAAAGATTGACAGATCGATGCGCGTCGTCGAAATGACCGTTTCTGAAACAACGCTGAGTGAAAAATTCATAACTCTCGAGTTGACAGTCGGAATCGAATCGGGTAGGATTTTCTTTTTTTTCTTGTTTGAAAGAACCTCTGTATGAATTTTCAGACCGCGGTCTTGAAAATTAAAAATCTGACGGCGTAATGAAGTTTGGCAGATCGAAGCGCGTCGTCGAAATTACATTTTCTCAAACACCGCTGAGTGAAAAATTCATTTCTGTCGAACACTCGGAATCGAATCGGGGTAAAATTTTCTCTTTTTTCTTGTTGAGAAGAAAGTCTGTATGAATTTTCAGACCGCGGTCTTGAAAATTAAAAATCTGACGGCGTAATGAAGTTTGGCAGATCGAAGCGCGTCGTCGAAATTACATTTTCTCAAACACCGCTGAGTGAAAAATTCATTTCTGTCGAGTTGACACTCGGAATCGAATCGGGGTAGAATTTTCTTTTTTTTCTTGTTTGAAAGAACCTCTGTATGAATTTTCATACCGCGGTCTTGAAAATAAAAAATCTGACGGCCTAATAAAGATTGACAGATCGATGCGCGTCGTCGAAATGACCGTTTCTGAAACAACGCTGAGTGAAATATTCATAACTCTCGATTTGACAGTCGGAATCGAATCGGGGTAGGATTTTCTTTTTTTTCTTGTTTGAAAGAACCTCTGTATGAATTTTCAGACCGCGGTCTTGAAAATTAAAAATCTGACGGCGTAATGAAGTTTGGCAGATCGAAGCGCGTCGTCGATATTAAATTTTCTTAAACATCGCTGAGCGAAAAATTCATAACTCTCGCGTTGACACTCGGAATCGAATCGGGGTAGAATTTCCTTTCTCTTTTTGGTTGAAAGAACCTCTGTATAAATTTTCAGACCGCGGACTTGAAAATTAAAAATCTGACGGCCTAATAAAGATTGACAGATCGATGCGCGTCGTCGAAATGACCGTTTCTGAAACAACGCTGAGTGAAATATTCATAACTCTCGAGTTGACAGTCGGAATCGAATCCGGGTAGGATTTTCTTTTTTTTCTTGTTTGAAAGAACCTCTGTATGAATTTTCAGACCGCGGTCTTGAAAATTAAAAATCTGACGGCGTAATGAAGTTTGGCAGATCGAAGCGCGTCGTCGATATTAAATTTTCTTAAACATCGCTGAGCGAAAAATTCATAACTCTCGCGTTGACACTCGGAATCGAATCGGGGTAGAATTTCCTTTCTCTTTTTGGTTGAAAGAACCTCTGTATAAATTTTCAGACCGCGGACTTGAAAATTAAAAATCTGACGGCCTAATAAAGATTGACAGATCGAAGCGCGTCGTCGAAATTACCGTTTCTCAAACACCGCTGAGTGAAAAATTCATAACTCTCGCGTTGACAGTCGGAATCGAATCGGGGTAAAATTTTCTCTTTTTTCTTGTTTGAAAGAACCTCTGTATGAATTTTCAGACCGCGGACTTGAAAATTAAAAATCTGACGGCCTAATAAAGATTGACCGATCGAAGCGCGTCGTCGAAATTACCGTTTCTCAAACACCGCTGAGTGAAAAATTCATAACTCTCGCGTTGACAGTCGGAATCGAATCGGGGTAAAATTTTCTCTTTTTTCTTGTTTGAAAGAACCTCTGTATGAATTTTCAGACCGCGGACTTGAA